GATATTAAGAATGTAAGTATGAGTTTTCTTTGTTTTTTCTTTATTAGTCTCTAAATTGTGTTCACAGCTCTGTTTTTATTTTCTTTATTTTTTAGCTTTAATGAGAACATGATTTCTTCTTTTCTTTATATACACTGCAGACTCTTCATCTCAGTAGAAACTCATTATCTTATAGACTAGAGTTTGCAAATGACAGTGTTAATATCTTTATTATAACTAGGTTCTTAGTAAAGACTATATCATTCTGACTTATCAGAATTCATAGTATAGAAGTTATATCTCAGCTTCTGCAGATATCTTATCTACTCAGATAATTCTTAAGTGAACTTATCTACTTTATGAGAATACTCTTGTCACTGAATCTTAAATCAGAGCTTATAATCTCACTTCTCTAAGTCAATAATTTCTTTAATCTGATATTCTCTTTCACTCTTTAGTACTTTATAAATAGAGTGATAAGTCACAGAATTCTCTTCTGAGAATTTCCTTATATTACAGAGTAAAGAGATATGAAAAATATTATATATCTACAACCTCAGATAATAGTTCTAATCTGTAGAACTGTGAGCTAACTTTTTTCTATAATCTTACAAGACTCTATCTGTAAGAGATTTCAGCTTCTTTACTAGATCTTTATATGATAATATTTTCTAGACTCAGTCAGACTCTATTATCTTTCTTTAAAACTCTTTATAATATACTTAAAGTTATAGTATCTCTTCTAATACTTTTAAGTCTTTCTCAAGAATTTACAGACTTTCTCTCAGATATTCTGAATTCTCTCAGCCTGTTTATAAGCATTATCACACTCTATAGTGTACTCTTACAGATTTATCAAGATTATTTACAGATAAGTCTCAGTAAGCATCTCAAAGAGAGTTTTATCTATACTGACATACTTTGAGTTATTGTATATAAACTCTGTAAGTAGTAATTAATACACTCAGTTATTCTGATTATAATTGACAAAGTATCACAGATACTATTTTAATATACTTATCAGATATTCTATCTGATCATCTGTCTGTTAATAAAAAGTTATACTTAGATCTTATGAGATCTTCAGTATAGTTATTAGATCAGATCAGAACTTCTCTGTAAAGATTAATTCTTTATCTAAGATAATGTTTATAGATAATTTATACAACTGAATTATATCACAGATAAAGATATGAGTTAAATTCTTTAACTTTAAGTTCTTATAGATGAGTATAAAGTGTGCTATCTTAATAAAGTAATCTACTATCATCAGTACACTATCAAAGCAGGTATTATATATGTTCCTGCTTTCAGAGAAGCTTACAAGAGTATTTATTTCTAACTATTTTCAAGATTTCTATGAGATAAGTAGAGAAGTAAGTTCTTTATATAATCTGAACTATACTATCTACAAACTCTGATAAACAGTATAAGAATTCACTATCTTTTTCACAAGTTCTCATATCTTCAGCTAGAAGTTTTTTCTTATAAGCAACTTATAAGTTTTAGTATCTGTAAAATAACTTACTAGAGAAGAGTCATAATATCTTTTAATAAGTTCTATATATAGAAACTTATTCATAGATATATAAATTCAGCTCTCTCTTTATAAGAGGTTATTTAAGTCTCTTCAATTCTTTATTTCTGTAGAATTGATTTCTGCTGTAAGTAGACTGGCCGGCGGGACCATGAATTTCACATTTAGTCCCATTTGGTCTGGTCTTATACATTTCTTGGCGTGAGTCCCACCAGGACCAAGCCTCAAAAAAATCTGAAAATGGACCATTTCTGAGAGAAATGGCATGAAAAATGACCAGATTTAATTCAAGAACAGTGAAATGAGAGTAATTTCTCAGGATAAACTGTGAAAGATGATCATTCTTCTAAAATCAGAATGAGACTGAAACTGAAGATCAAAATCAGTCTCATTCAGTTCATTCAGTGATTGCTTATATAATCAGAATTTGATAACAATTATTGATAACACTCATGAAACAACTAAATACATTCTTGTGTAAGTTTATTCTTCACTTTCTCATGAAAACTACACTTCTCTGATATACTGTGATCAGAGGTATTAAACTGTCTGATAATTCCATGTTTTATAATCATGAGTTTCTTGATTGTTTCTTCTTGTAATTGTTCTCAGTGATAGTGACAAATATCTTGACTTGAGTTGAACTTTCACTCTATTCCCATCTCTGTCAATGAAATTGTCAGAATATCATGTATTATCAGTGCAATAGTTGAATATATACTCTCAACAATTTTTCATAACTCTAGAATTGATTTGATGTGTAAATTTGTTGAATTATCTTGAAGATAGCAGTTAAATTCAGTTTTACAAGCATGTAGTTTTGCCTGATTTTCAGTTGCAATCAATGTATGCAAGTTCTGTTTCAAAGTTAGTATTATAGTTCTATGAGATATGAAGTGTTACCAAAGATCATTACTTACTAGAGAATTGTATTTCACTGTCTTCACATCTTGAACATCTGCTTGTTCAAATCTCTGATAGTTGATATTGTAGTAGTCTCAGACTAATTTGACATACAAGTCTTATTTCTCCTCTGTTCAATCTTGAGAAGTGTAGATATTAACTCAATAGAAGAGATCTAGTAGAGCTGCTACAGTATAGTACTCTGCAAAAGATTGTTCAGTTTTGCTGTAGTAATATGCCAGTTTATTTCTTACAGTAATAATAGCCTGTGCTATAGCATCATCTCAGACTGAATTTCTTTTTAAGTGATTCAACTGCTTCTCAAGATGAGTAAATAAACTGTTATACACTCACCAGACTGACTGCAGCATTGGTGTACAAGTGATTGAGACTGTCTTTATTATCTTATAAAACTGAAACAGTAAATCAATCACATATTTCAACTGAGTTCACTTTATATCAGAAAGTTTCAATATCTGAATCTTTTTTCAATCAGAGTGTTGCATTCAATGATCAATCATCTGACACAATTGAAGAGCCTGAACAGTCATCTCATATGTTGAACTTCACTGTGTTCTAACATCTTGTATCATATTCAGTGATGTGACTGATTTGTTTGTTTATTGAATATCATGAAATCATTGTTATTATTTAGAGGAGATACAAATCACATTAGCAATGTTTCAAATCTGTGATATTTAAATTATTAGTCAATCTATTCAAAATTAACAGTAGCATTATCAAAAAGCATTATCAAAAAGCAATATTAAAAAGTGTTGTCAAAAAACATTATCTTTTGCAAAGTAGATGTAAAAGTTACTTGAGTAATCACTTTCATCTCATTCTCATCTCAAGAACTAGCCATCTCATTATTCTTTGTCTCAATGTTAAGATTCTTTATCAGTGTTTACATCACAAGTTGAATCACATAAGCAATGCAGAGAATATGACCTTGTTTATCATTTTAGAAATGCAAAGTCAATTTTTGCTTCAAGCTCTTCATTATAGTGTAGTTATTCACAGCATTATCAGTTGTAATTGTAAGAAGACTGAGACTAATATCTCAATAGTCATTTTTAATCACAGTTATTAATATCTCTGTTATATAATCCCTAGTATGACTACTGATCAATGATTCAAATTCAATTAATGTCTCTTAATAAGTTCAGTTCTCATCAATGTAATAACATGTAACTCTTATAAATGTAAGATTGTTTGTACTAGTTTATGCATTCACTGTAAGAGATACTCTTCAATGATTCTTCAACTCTGATTCTAGATGTTGTATATTGACTTTGTAGTATATCTCAAGGTTGGACTGAAGACAGAATTGATGTAAAATATGAAGATTTGAATTAAGCATTTGAAGAAGTGTTCAGAATTCAGGGTTTTCAATTGATTAAAGAGGAAGATTCAGAGATATACACATGCAAAGTAATTGTTCACAGAAGTTATTAGATGAGAGTTATGAAATCAGAGTACTAGTACATGATCATTTTCACATGATTTTCTTCAAATTAGAAAGTTAGTGTTATCAAAAATTGTTATCTGATAGAGCAACTTATCAGCTCAGTAGTAATTTTCTGATTATTTTTCTTTTATTATCTGCATTCTGATGACTTCAGATGTTGAGAAATTTCTCCAGAGTCATGACTAGTTTATAATGAATGTTTCTGAATGAAGTTGCAGTGATTGTAGCAGAGAGATAACTCTTCAGTAATCTGCAATACAACCTGTTGATAATTATTTCATAGATTATCTCAGTGTTTATGTTAAGTTTTTCATAAATTTCATGACCTGAAATCAGATGTGAAGAATGAAGTGATCATTTATTATGATTGAAAGAGAGTATTCTGTGTTGAATTGTAAACAATATAGACTTTGTGATTCACAGTGATTTCTTGAAAAGTTTGTAGATCTTCAATAGAAGTAAAAGAAGTAAAAGAAGTGAATTCAGAAGATATGATAATAATTTATGAAAGATAATAATTTATTTTCAATAACTGATCACTGATGTGTGTAAGAAGAATTAATATAAGAGAAAATAATCTTGTTTCTTAGCTTAGTTATAATTTTAGTACTAACTCAGATTGAATATCATTGATGTATAAAAGTAAATAAACAATCTTGATTAATCTCTGTCATATTTCTTGAAATATATTAATATTATGAAAGAGAGTGTTATCAAATTACATTATCAGATGATATCATTAAAAATATATTAATATTATGAATATCAATGTTGAAAAAATGTTGATACTTATACATTATAGTGATTTGTGAATCATGATAGTTAAATATATATATATATATATATCATTCCTGACTTGATTATAACTTGTACAATAATTTTTGAAAACTCAAAATCAATTTTAATTATTAATAATTAAAAACTTAAACTTATAACTAACTAATATAAAAAGAAAAAAATCTACTTCTTCTCTTTCTCATTCTTCTTATCATTCTTCATAATTCACTTCTCATTCTTCTTCTTCTTCTTCTTCTTCTTCTTCTTCTTCTCCTCATCTGAGATGATAACTATCTCAAAATCTCTCTTCACTGTCTTCTCAGAGAAGGGTTCTCACTGCTCTCTCTCAGCCAGGTCAATCTGTGCCTCAAAATCCCGCATTTCCTGGTCTGCTGTCTCAGGTTCCACCTCAGTGACAAGCAGATTGACATGCTCAGAGAGCAGGGCTGCCTCCTCAATGTCCTGAATCATGGAGTGTATTTGAGACCTGAACAAGGTCTCAATCCCCTTCTTCTCTGTCAGCTCCTGCTAATCAATTAGAGAACAGAAGTGTTATCAAAAATCATTATCTCTCAATAAATAAAAAACTTATCAGTTTTGACTTCTTTATCTTCTACTTCAATACTCTCTCAATCTTCTTCTATCATCACTTATTTACAGTAACACTCTTCTTCTCTCTCTCTCTCTTTATCTTGAACTCAAATCATTCTCAGAACTTCTCCTGATCTCATCACTGCTGTATGAGACTCTTCACTATCTTCTTTTTCAATCTCTCATGAGCAGTATCATCTGTATTATTTCTATACTTAGTTCAGTCTAAATCTATCAGAAGTATTACTTAAAATTGTTATTATTCTGCTTTCTTGCAGAGCCTCTTCAAGGCATTATAACATGCCTTGTGATTAGTCTTCTCTTACTTAAACATCTTCTTCTCCTCTCTCTTTAATCTATGACAGCACTCACACACCTTGATGATCCACAGGACTGCAGAATATTTGAAGAGGAATGACATGATTGATTTCAGTGAGTGTTGAAGAAGAGTGAAGGCAGAAGAGACGGCCAGAAATGATATGATAATGATGATAATGATAATGATAGTAATGATGATAATGATAGTAATGATGATGATGATGATGATAATGATAATAATGATGATAATGATAGTGATAATGATGATGATGATGATGATGAAAGAAGAAGTGCATTGAAATATATTACTGACTTATCAAATATAAAGAGACAAAGAAAATATTAACAGCTTTCAGAGATATACAGAAACAGCTACAGTGTTGCATAGCAATATTATCTTCATTCAATGCATGCAGTGTTGATATTCTTTGTATGCAGTTATTATATAATCTATATCAGAAATACATACAGAAAACAGATCTTTGTTGCTAGAAAGAATGATTACAGTGATTCTCTATTTTTATATTATAAAGATAAGTTATTCTTATTTCTTTCTTCTCTCTTTTCTCTTCTTCTTCAACTCATCACTAAATTCAAGCTGATATGAAAACTATTAAAACACTTCTAGAAACTCTTACACATTGAAGAGTATAGACTAATTAAATTTTAAATACAGAAGAATTAAATTACATTCAATATTACTAATTATTCATCTCTCTCTAATAAAATCACAGTCATATCTTTCCTCTCTCTTCTCAAATGAAACATGACCTGTGAAAAGTGAGTACCACGCCAGGTCATAATGATCAACACAGCCTCAGTACACAGGGCTGTATACACACAGCACATGCTGAACTGAGAGACTGTGTGAATTGCAAACCAGTATCAGCATTTCAGAAAGAGCTATGTGACATGAGAAAGCTGCAACTCTCAGTCACATGTGCAGAGAGTGAATCATTGCAGTAAGTGTATATATATTGCATGAAAGTAACACTTTTTGATAACACTCAGTCTCTGATATTATGAAAATAGAGTCTCTCTGTGAGATCTGTTTTTACTAGAAGTCAGAGAATCTTATATTTCTCAAGATCATCTTCACCTGTCTTATCTGTGAAATTGATAAGAGAAATCATTGATTTCAGTGTTCTGTTCTTAATGTTATTCAAGTGACAGCAGAGTCCACTCTGGCCACACTTTTTAAGTGTATATTTTCTAAATATTCACATTTATACAGATATATACTGATTATTTATTAGATGATGTTAAGACAATGACTCATTGCAGCTGTGTTACTCTCACTGTGAGGAATATACAGTTGATGATCAATATTGCAAAGACTCTGAGAAGTGAGTATTTTAAGAGTGCTGCAGCCCTGTGACCTTGATTTTTTTTATTTTTATTTTTTATTTTTTTCTTTTCCTTTTCTTTTTTTTTTTCATTCATTCTGATTTTTTCTTGTTTTTGTTTTGTTTTTTGTTTTTTGTTTTTTTTTTTGTATTTTATATTTTTTTCATAATTAAAATTATATGAATTATGATCTGTGTTCAGAAAAGTAATAATATTTGATAACACTCTCTGTTGAATTTTTAACAAATGAGCACTATGTTATGATATTATGTAAGTGAGAAGTGATTTCATAATCTCATTTGATGCCATTCTCAATAATGAGATCAGAATGAAAATGTGACTAAGAATTCAAACATATTCTTTATTCAGAACTAGATTTTTATTTGAAAAGTGAATCTGAGACCTTTAATATTTGAAATAATGTGATTTGGGATCAATGTGATGAATATAAACCATGACCAGAAGTAATGCTTTTAGACAACATGACAACTGTAAAGTTTGATCCTGATCTCAGACACGGTCACACGGTCAGTCTAGCTGTAAGCAGTTTCTAAATATACTGAGTTTATTCATTCTTTAATTACAGTTCAGACAATCTGAATAGAAGATTTTATAAAGACTTATACTCTGTTTTTTCTTATATCAGGTCTTTCACAGCACTTCTTAAAGTCTGTAAATTCTTCAGATTATAGATATTCTCTTCAAGAATTCTTACAGAGATTCTTAGAGTGTTAACTCTTAGTATTATAGAGAGTAGTTATACAGACTTCTTCTCTCTCTTCTCTCTCTTCTCTTATAAGAGATTAAAAGACTCTTCAGTTAATCTCTTTACAATACTCAGTTTAAGTATTCTGTGAAGCTTTTCTACCTTCTCTAGTCTCTCTATATCTGTTATTCTGGCCTTCTTAACATAGTCAGGCCTGTAAGAGAGTCTGTCTACTGAGTTCTTAGTTTTCTTAATATGCTCTATCTTGAATCAGAACTCACTCAGTCTCTAAGCTCAGTGAATCTGCTACTGTGAGAGTTTCTTAGTTAAAGTAAACTATTATAAGCTGTTATAATTAGTTCTAACAGTAATTACTGTTACAAGGTTCTCAAAGTAGTAATATCAGTGATAGAAGAATTTCACTATTATGAGAAGCTTCTGATTATAAATGTTATAGTTAATCTTCACAGATTACATCTTCTGTAAGAAAAAGACTACTAAAACTCAGTTCTCATTTGACTATAGTTATAAGACTATTTCTGAAATTATAAAGAAGAAGACATCTATCTTCAATCTGATCAAAAGTAAGAAATTAAAGTAAAACAGTATTACTGTATTTATGAATATCTATTTCAATCTTATAAAGATCTCATAAGCTTCTGAAATAAGAAAGTTCTCACAGTTCTCTCTTCTTAACAATCTTTTCATTCTTTATTTATGAAATGATTTCTTCTTATTTTCATTCTTCAGTATGTCTGTAAGAGTTAAGAAGATTCTTATAAATACAAAGATAAACTGTCTATAGAAGTTTATAAAGCTTAGAAAGATCTGAATCTTATAAATACTAGTTAACTCTGATTATAATAGAATAGTCTTAACTTATGAAGATTTCATCTGAATATTATCTGCAGTAATTATATATTCTAGAAAATTAATCTGATGAATACTGAAGTTGTACTTTGTAAGCTTAACATACAGTTCTGCCTCATCTAAGATCTTCAACATACTTTGCATATACTCAGTGTGTTCTTTCTTCTTTGTGAAGTACATCATCATATCATTCAGATATGCATGAAGTGTTTTATTAATAAAAGACTGAAAAGCCACGGGGGTATTAGTCAAATCAAAAGGCATCACTAGATATTCAAATAATCTCAGTACAGTTCTAAAGACAGTCTTTCATTTATCTTCAGACTGTATTCACAGCTGTGTATATATATTAATCATATTCAGTTATGTGAATATGACAGCTTTTATAAGACAGTTGATCACATTCTCAATCAGAGACAGAGAATAGTAACTCTTTATTATCTTGAAGTTCAGATTACAGTAGTCTATATACAATCTGAGATCTTCATTCTTCTTCTTCATAAACATCACAGAGGCTTTCACAGAGACCTGTGAAGATTAGATACAGTTATTCTTCAGATTCTTCTTTATATAAATCTGTAAAACCTCTGTCTCATAATAAGAGAGCTTATAGATTAATTCTCAGAACAGTTTCTACTCTTCTATCAAGTCTATTATCAGATTCTTCTTATAATAAGAAGAAAGCTCAGCTGTCTTTACTAAGCTGAACATCTCTGTAAGATCTCAGTATTTCTCTAGTATCTGAAGCTCAGTTTTCATGACTGTGAAGTTCTCAGACATTTGTAAAGTTATTATATAAATGAGCTTATCTTCTCTAATTAACTCTGCAGTATTAACTGATTCTATCTTTATAAGTGAGTCTGCTAACACTGATTAGAAGTATAAACCTTACTTATAGACAGCTATATATGAATTGTATCTTTGAAGTTATACAAGTCTTAAGTATATATCATCTGTGATGTCTATAATAATCACAGTTTCTGCAAATCTTCTTCAGATTTCAGAGAGATCTTATAATTCAAAGATGACTCTTATAAGTCTCTCAGTTCTCAGATCTGAGTTTCTACACTCTTCTTATTATAAGAGCAGATTCTCAGTTTTCATCACTTAGCTTATTCATTCTATAAGCTTTAGAGATACTACAGTAACCTGAGATTCTGAGTTCACTAATACTTTTTATACTTGTAAAGCAGCAGTATCACAGCACAGTCTCTTTCTATAAGTATGTATTTTCATTGAGAGAGTAACAGATTTAGATGTCAGCTTCAAGACTCTTAAGAAGACTATTACTAACTCTGTTTATAACTTCTCAAATTTCTATTTTAATTTGTCTGAATAGTTTGTATGAAGATGTTCTAATTTAGAGTAGATAAAGCAGAGACTCTTTTTCTTAATCTCTCTGTTATACACTCTATTTATAGAAGCTTATAAAGCTCTTTCTCTCTGCTTAGTAGTCAGATATGAATCTCTCTATATCTTATTATCTTTCTCTGATAAATCTGTTCTCTGTTATTCTGACTCTTATGAGACTGATCAGTGATTTACTCTCTACAGGTCTGTGACTCTTACAGTAATCTGTAAGCAGTGAATAAGAGTCATCAGTTTCTTCAAAGTTAAGAACTTAGAGTCTTACTCAATGAGCTTATTCTGTATATCTTTATTCAGTTTTTTTATAAACATCATTATTCAGATCTTGTTTCAGAGCTCTGTTTCTACAGATCTTAATTCATATTATAATTTTATAAAGTGCTATGAGTAGTCTTCATCAGATTTCTTATCTCTTTTTCTAATATTAATAATTACAGTTCAGATGTTCTCTGTTCAGCTCACAGAGTCTCTCAACTTATTCTTTAGATAGGTCTTAAGAACAGACTAGTGAAATCTCTTATAATTATTCTTTAGATAATTCAGCCAGTTCTTGACTTCAGTGTAGTAGAGATCTGTCATTATATAGATAACAGCTTCTTCATCTTTCATATCACACAGTCAGACTTGTGAGTTAATTTTAAATACAAACTTATAAAAGCTTTTATAGATTATAATTCAGTAAGTAATCTTAAGTAATTATAGCTTAAGAAAGTTTCTTTTCAGTTCACAGATATTTCTGAAGATCATGTCTAGAGACTCAGTTTAAGAGTGTTTACAGACAGTAAGCATTTCTTATAGAAAAATAGCTTGAT